GTGGCAGCTCACCCCCCTCCCCGAAGCCCCCCCCCCGCGGCAAGCTCCCCCTCCCCCCCCGGGAGCCGTGCGGCACCTCCCCACGCCAGCTCACCTCTGCTCCGCCTCCTCCCCGAGCACGCCACCCCCACTCCAATTCTCCTCCCAGGCTTGCCGCGCCAAACAGCTGATTGGTGCTGCAAGCCTGGGAGGCGGGAGAAGTGGAGCGGCGACCGCGAGCTCTGGGGAGGAACGCTGTAAAAAAAATTGAGGGCACTGCTTTTTGGTGCCCCCAAATCTTGGCACCGTAGGCAACCGCCTAGTTCGCCTTAATGGTAGCACCGGCCCTGCCGGCTCCTCATCCCTGCCAAACAGGCTTGAGTATTAAGCCTCCCTCTCTGATGCTCACCCTTAACCAGGACCGGCTCTAGGTTTTTTGCCACCCCAAGCTCCGAGAGTGGAACTGTCCAAGCATGTGCTTGCTTTGCTGGTGCCTAGAGCCGGTCCTGCCCTTAACCACTATACCAGAAAGAATAATACTGGGGAGACGAATGTAGCCCAGAAAAATTCTGGGCAACAGGTCGACCAATAGGGCTGCATGTCATTCCATAGAATCGTAGGTCTGGAAGGGATCTTGAGAGATCATCTGGTCTAGTCCCCTGCACTCATGTCCTCCTGGAGTTGGCCAATGTGGCCATCTATAAATCCAGGAGGAGGATGTTGGACAGGGAGGTGCTCTGCAACTGTGGAGCTTACTTCTGTTCCTCCCTTGGCTCATGTCTCTGGGCAGAGTTCCTCTGGGTGGCATCCGCTGGCTCCCTAGACACATTTGAGGAGCAGTGGGTGCTGACCAAAGTTCTCTGCTTGGATCTGTGATTTTGTACCTGTGACCCTCACTCCTGACCCTGTTATTCATTAGTTGTCTCCCATAATTATTTGAATCCCAGATCCAGCAGCTCCTACCCTCAAGCTGGGGTAGGGGCCTTTAGATGCATATGCCCACCCGCCCGCCTCCCAGATTTCAATAGGTGCACAAGCTGGGTAGAGCAGTCATGCCTGGCATGAGTTAGCAGCCCTGCTCTTCATCCCTGCCAAACTGGCTTGAGTATTAAGCCCCCGTTTCTCATGCCCACCCTTAACCACTGTACCCGAAAGAATAAAACTGCAGAGGGGAATGCAGCCAGAAAAAATATGGAGACAATTTTTGGTACCACAAAAGAACCAGCTTAGATTACTCAGCCTGGCCCACAAGATGCACTTCTTAAGGCACAAGGAATACAGCACATCAAATGGTGCTGACTCCAGAACTTCTGCTAGGGGGAAGCTTTTGAGGCAGTACAAAAATACTGTAAGTCCTGTGACCCATGTGAAAGTGTGGGGAAGGCCCAAGATAAGGGCAAGGCTGCCCTGATTCCACTTTCCATCATAGCAGAACATTTTCTGCGGGTCACTTTGGTCATTGTAGGGCCCCTTAGCAAAGTTACCTGGATGAGGAAAAATATATCCCGGTGGTAGTCGATTTTCTCTCCTTTAGAGGCGAATATGGTGGCTAATGCCTCGCTAGCAACAATCAGCTGGGTGGGGTTTGTCTGTGCGGGTTAGACTCAGGGCAAATTTTATCTCTGCTCTACATAAGAACGGCCCTACTGGGTCAGACCAAAGGTCCATCTAGCCCAGTATCCTGTCTTCCAACAGTGGCCAGTGCCAGGTGCCCCAGAGGGAATGAACAGAACAGGTCATCATCAAGTGATCCATCCTCTGTCGTTCATTCCCAGCCTCTGACAAACAGAGGCTAGGGACACCATCCCTGCCCATCCTGGCTAATAGCCATTGATGGACCTATCCTCCGTGAATTTATCTAGTTCTTTTCTGAACCCTGTTATGGTCTTGGCCTTCACAACATTGTCTGGCAAGGAGTTCCACAGGTTGACTGTGCACTGTGTGAACAACTTCCTTTTATTTGTTTTAAACCTGCTGCCTATTAATTTCATTTGGTGACCCCTCATTCTTGTGTTATGAGAAGGAGTAAATAACACTTCCTTATCTACTTTCTCTACACCAGTCATGATTTTATAGACCTCAATTATATCTCCCCTTAGCTTTCTCTTTTCCAAGCTGAAAAGTCACAGTCTTATTAATCTCTCCTCATGCGGAAGCCGTTCCATACCCCTAATAATTTTTGTTGTCCTTTTCACAACCTTTTCCAATTCCAATATATCTTTTTTTGAGATGGGGCGACCACATCTGCACACAGTATTCAAGATGTGGGCGTACCATGGATTTATATAGAGCAATATGATATTTTCTGTCCTATTATCTTAATGGTTCCCAGCATTCTGTTCGCTTTTTTGACTGCTGCTGCACATTGAGTGGATGTTTTCAGAGAACTATCGACAATGACTCCAAGATCTCTTTCTTGAGTGGTAACCGCTAATTTAGACCCCACCATTTTATGTGTATAGTTGGGATTATGTTTTCCAACATTTTGAGTGACTATGAGAGAAATGTGATGTTCCACACTTCTGGTCACCTCCGTCCCATCCTTGAGTAACTGGCTGGTTGAAGGATTTAATGGAACCCTTAAAATGATGTTGAAAACTTTTGTGGACCAACTGCCCAAGTTACCTGCCATTTCCCTGTGAGGAGGTTTGCCCAGGAATGCACAGGATCGTCCACTTTTCAACTGCTTTATGGGAGGAGATACTGGGCCCCTGGATCTAATGAGCATGGAACGGGAAGGTCTGACCTCTCCTGAAGGGGAGTCTGTGGTGGAGTATGTGTTGGCCTTCCAGGAAAAATTCACAGAACTCCTAGGTTTTGCCCAGGAGACTCTAACTACAACACAGGAGTAACAGAAAGTCTGGTGTGACCGTACCATGTGGAGTTGGACATATGGTATGGTGGACCAAGTTATGATGCTCATCCATGTGCAAAGGAATAAACTCCAGTTCTCTTCATGTGTCAGTATATTTATGCCTGCATCTGTAATTTTCACTCCATGCCTCTGAAGAAGTGGGTTTTTACCCACAAAAGCTTATGCCCAAATAAATCTGTTAGTCTTTAAGGTGCCACTGGACTCCTCATTGTTTTTAAAGTTAATTAAGTATTTTAGGGAAAACTGTCAGTGTGGCCACCAGCAAGAGTTGGTGGCTGCACTTCGAGGCCAACAAAAATTTATTGTGAGAACCCCTGGTGTAGGGAGGGAACTGTGTTGCCTGGAAAAACCCAATCAGGAGGAGGAAGAGAGACATAGGCATCTACCCAAGACAGTTGATGGCTAAGGAGCCTGGCACCTAGCGTGTGTGTGTGTGTGTGTGTGTGTGTGTGTGTGTGTGTGTGTGTA